CGCCGACCGTCCAATCGGAGAAGCCGAGAGGGGAGGGGGAGTAAATGCTGGCGGAAAGGCCAATGGGAAAGGCCGCGATGACGCCCAAGCAGCGCGGTTTGGGGAGCGAGTCAAAAACTGCTTAGGGTCTCGTAGGCTAGGGTGGCGGTGGCTGGAGGGCTCCGTGTGCCATTCATTCATTCATTCATTCCCCGAGGGGGGGGGACACTCTAGCTGCGCCCCCAAAGGCGCTTAGCCGAGTTCGAGCGTGCTTTGCAACCCCTCCCCTCCCCAGCCAAGAAGTGGGCTTGGTTGGGGAGGAGAGCTTAAGCTTTCCGCATCCATTCATGCTTTCCTTGAATAGGGTGACCGTCCTTTCTCCAAACCGTGCTCCATCCAACAGCCTGGACAGGTTGGAGATGCTTCCTTGGCTCCTGGAAAAGAGCGCATCTTCCCCAGCGCAGTTTCCTCCAGGCGCGGAGTCGCAAACCTTCGCCTTTGCGCTCCCACGTGGGACCTTCCTTATCCGTGACGTCAGCGGGGAAGACGGGGCTTCAAAGGGACTTTACACACCTTTGGATGCTTTGGAATTACAGAGTCCTCTTTTCTTTTCCTCCTTTCCTGGTGGCTTCTGGTTCTCCCGGTGATTTCCCTCCCCCCTCCCTCTCCTCCCCAGGCCCGGGGCTTTGATAGGCGACGGGATTGACGGCCCACGGCTTGGATCGGCTTTTCTAAATTAGGCGTTTGTTTTCTTGCAGTTTCCCCGGCTCCGTGAATAGCTCGCAAAGATCAGGTCGCAGGTGAACTCAATGCATAGGTGTTGTTGCAAAAGTTCGTCTGGAAGGCTAATTATAGGTTGTAGGGAGGCTTTGTATTTCAAAGAGGCTTCATATAAATTGCTTTCATGGGAAAAGGTGGCCGAAGCTGGTATTTTGGAAAGGGTGGTGTGGGGTACATGGAGCTTTTTTTTTTCTTTTCTTTTTTTTAGTTATTCCTCCTTAGTCCTGGAGCAGCACAATATTCTCCCTGACAGACTGATGGTACTGCAGGTACTTTTGAACTACAGCTCCCATCATCTCTTACTTTTTTATCATGGTGACTGGGGCTGATAGAAATGAGAGTCCCAACGTTAGTGAGAGAACCTCAAAGTCCCCAGCCCTTCCCTAAACAACAACATTTTGGGAGCAGAAGAGATGGATTGACAAGCTGCTTTTCCGTTCACTTGAGACAGGAACTAAAAGAGCAGAATTTAGCTATAACAAATACTAAAAAATATGTATTTTTGTAAAGGCTGTGCATTTTATTGTGGAAACAATTGCCTGGAACTCTGGTTTCCTCACCTTTCCTATCCATAGCTATGTACCCCACGAACTGCATTGAGTCTAAGCAAATGATCCCATTTTGTCATACTTGGGGTGATATTTCAAGACTGATACCTGCATCTTTAGATGGCTGGCCCTTGCACTCAAATAGATCCCAGTAGCTTCCAAAAGTTCCATAGACATTTTTCCTCTATGGAAGCCTGAATGAGCCAAGTCTATTTTGCCTGTCAGCCTTGGCATTGCTACCTTCTCTGTCCAATCCCTCAGGGGTTTTGGGAAGACATTAGCAGTGCTTATGGAAATCTTTTGTACCTCTGAAGTGTTAATAAGGGAGGCTAATGTACACACAAGCACACATTCCTTGAAGTTGTGCTATACGCATAACACTGATTAAAGGGACATTTTAAGGAAATGGTCTGTTCTGAAAGTAAGAGATTCTTCACCCGGCCTAATTTTAGGCCACTTTTCAGTCTAAGTTTGGTTTAGAAATTATGACAAATAATGGCATTAATCAGACTTGCAGAGATTGGCCTCGTTCATCATAACAAGCCAAGATTTCTCTAATCAGTATAATTCACAATTTTGGGGCCATTGACTAAAACACTTTTGGGGGTTCTACAGTAGTCTCTCAGCTATAAATCATAGTCTAAACCAGGGGTCTCCAACCTTGGCAACTTTAAGACTTGTGGACTTCAACTCCCAGAATTCTGGGAATTGAAGTCCACAAGTCTTAAAGTTGCCAAGGTTGGAGACCCCTGGTCCAAAACCCTTTAAGCAGACTGGTTGAATTTGTTGAATAAGCCATAATTGGCTGGGATGCCATAATTTAAATAAATCACAATGGCTAGTTTCCCCACATTGCTAGAGCAAGACCAAGCCAGCCATATTATAAACTAACTTGTACAATGAATCAGTGTGTCTGAAGTGGTGGGAAGTGTAGAGATAGTGACCACAACTATGGGATTGAAGCCTCGCCCCGCTTTTTAATATGCATTTCATGCAGTGATTTTAATATGATTTTGTGCAGTGTTTGACATATACGCCTACTGATCCCCTGTTCTGAATAAACTAATAGATTTGGAGTTGTTCTTTTTTTACTCCTTCCGTTCAGTTCCATTTGATTCTCCGAGATACTCAGTATCTAATTAAAGTTTGCATTCCACTTATTTCTCCTTCAAGCTGTTTGTTGGGTTATCAGGAACAGGAAATTAAATCTGGATCTTAGTTTGAGAAAGCAATTTCTGTAAAGTAAATAGGAAGGAAGGATGCTTTGAGGTGAAAAAGTTGGAGAAAGCATAAAGAGAATCAGGCAAGGAACACATAAAGATGCATGCAATTTCAATTTTGATCAACAACACTTGAACAAAGGAGAAATTACTGTACTGCTCCTTTAGTGCCCTAAAACAGTCATCTTTGCACCCATGGTATAATTCACCCATGGTATAATAATTTGTGCTTGTGAGAGTAAACACAGGCTAAAGCTGCATTCTTCTGAATATGCACATTAAAAGAAAAATGTAGTGTCATCTGTATTTGTACCACTTCTAGTACAATGAACAGGGGCTCTGTGCTGGGTGATAAAAATAATTATGTGATTAAAGACACTTCCTTACTGAGAAAAAGACACTTATTTCCAAATCTTATTCATGCTGATTATTCTTATTTCCTAAATGCAGTTAAAAAGCGAAATTCCATGAATTTTCCCATAGATTTAAACCTGTGTGTGTGTTTGTGTGCATTCATAAAGGTATGAGACAAATATATTGGAATCAAGATTTGATGCACACTGTGGCACTAGAACTTCACATCAAGTTCAAAAGTTTTGGATTTCTGTTTTCTGGGACGGCCCATAAAATAGTTAAAACCCCTTAAAAGATCTAGACTTTGTAAGGAGGTGGATTGGCCTGAAATGTGCACACCAGATCCAGTCCCTAATTAGAACCTTTTGTCCACAGCCCTTTCTAAAGCATTCCGTGTCTGTTTAATATTTAACATATGGGGGGGGGGAGTTAACAGAGTTTTGTTGGTGTGCCAGTTCTATTACAATCAGAGATTGTTTAGTTGGGATGCAGAATAAAAAGAAAGAAAAGGAAAAGACTTATTTTCTTTCTAAAAGGAACCCAAGAAGAGGAGGAAGAGGAGAAGGAGGAGGAGGAAGCAGTTATGGGGTTTAGTTGGGATGCAGAATAAAAAATAAATAAAAGGAAAAAGGATTAGTTTCTTTCTAAGATGAAGCCAGGTTGAGGAAGAGGAGAAGGAGGGGCTGCTGTGGGGAGAGGCGGGGGGGGCGGCTACATGGGGGCTACTTTGCAAAAATGAGGGCAGCCTCCCTCTTTGAGAGTTGACCATCTCACACACCCCCAGCCACCCCCCTCCTCTGCAAAAGAGCAATACAGCCATTGTTGGGCATTGTATGGTGAAAGAAAAGGAAGAGAGTTCAAACAGCAATTGATCTTTATCTCCTGGGGGAAGGTGGGGGGGGGAGGAGGAAGGAGAGTTTGGAAAGAAAGGGTTGAGTTGATTTGGGCAATAAAAGGGTTAAAGGCAGGGAGTGGAGCTGGCAGAACCGGGAGGAGGGAATGCTGCCTGTCCCTTTAAGGTTCCTGCAGCACGAAGAGAATTGCAGGCATAATACGATTGGGGCGGCAGGATCACTTACTTCTGACGTTCCAAAGCCTGGGGGAGTTGGCTAGAGATGGTTTCCCTTTGATAAGGTCCTGGCAACTTAGTAACAACTCGAGAGGCAATAATAATAATAATAATAATAATAATCGGAGTCTCAAAGCTTTGATACGAACGTACCCACCAAAACCCTCCATCTCAACGGGGAGGAAAAAAAAAAAAAGCAAATCACCAGAACTCACGATTAGCTCTTTAGTTCGGGCTTTTACGCCCAAAGCTTTAGGCCGGCGCCTTTGCCTCTACTGGGATCTGAAGAACCGCGGCCCTTGATGTCGGCTTGTTTTCTACCACCACCACCACCACCCTCTTCCCTCCCCCCCACACACAAAAAAAGAAAGTGTGTGTTTGGGGCGGGGGGGAAGGTGTTGCAGAAAAGACGCTTATCTCCCTTACAGGACCGTTCCTCTCGGTTGTTCACTTTGATGTGCACAGTTAAACCCACAGCTCAGTGTTTGTTGAAATAGCCCGGAGGACATTTGGTGCAAGGAATGACTGCTTGAAAGAGGACCTGGGTGGAAAGAAGGGGGGCGGGTGGGGTGGGGGTGGGGGGGTCAGGAGAAGTGGGGGAGGGGTCGGGTCTTTTGATTCTCACCCCCCCCCCCCCCCCCCCCCCTTTTGGGGTAAAAAAAGAGGGGGGGGGGACCCCCCCCCCCCCGCCAAACTCTCGCTTTCTTTCCGCTGATATATTTTTGGGCAAGGTCCTAGTGTCCCCCCCCCGAACCCCTCCCCACTCCCCCTCCTTTTTTTTTTTACTCTCAGATGCTGTTGCGAAGAGCTTGGGAGGAGGTGGGTGATAGGGAGGAATCAGCGCAGCGTTGCGGGTTACTTTTCTCCTTTCCCTATGAGAAAGGCTCAGGGAGGGAGATTTTGAGGCCGGGGGGGAGGAGGAGGAGGAGGGGGGGGTCTGGCGGTTGGGAGGGAAGGGCCGGGCGCCCGATTTAACCGGGGGTGGGGGGGGGGGGAGGGAGAAAGCGCCCCACCACCAACTCCGGGATCAATGGTAAGTTGCGAAAGAATGTGTGTAATTCCTTCGCCCCTCTCCCCCCCTTTTTCTCCGTTGCTTTGATGTTTTCTTGGCTGGAGCTTTGAAGTTGTTCGGAGAAGCTGTTTGCGCGTTCGTTATGAGTAAGCAGACCTAGGGGGGGGAAAGAGGGAGCGCTGGGTTTGGACGAACCACAGCAGCCACTGAGCTCTCTCTCTGTGTGTGTGTGTGTGTGTGAGAGAGAGAGAGAGAGAGAGAGAGAGAGAGAGTTTAAGGGGGAGGCATCTGCTGGGGAAGGAATGGGTCTTTTCACAGACCCCCCCCCCTTCCCTCATAAACATCCCGGTAAAGTAGGGAGGAGTTTTTGCCTTTGTTTTCCAGCAATGTTTTGTGACTTGGAAAGGAGGTAGAGACCCAGGGATGGCTTCGGTTGGTAGGTAGGCGAAGGATGCCTTGGCTGCCAGTCCCTCCTCCCGCACCTCTTCGCGTACACCCCTCCCACTTCTGTCAGCACCCTCGATGAACTCCAAAGAGGCGCAGCGTGCTGACTTTGGGGTCAGTTGTTACACAGGATTTGGAGAAGGCGGCCGGGGAAGGTTTTCCTGTTCTCTCGTTCCTTTCTCTCTCTCTCTCTCTCCCCTTCTCTTTCTCTCTCTCTCTCTTCCCCCCCTCCCCAGTTCCTGAGATATCTCAGCAGATCTGCTTACATTCCCCCCCCCCTTTCCCATCAGTCGCCATTTCTGGATATTTTTCTCTCTTTCATGCTTCCCTCCCTCTGCGGGATGGTTCTCTGCGGGTATGGGCTGCAGCGTCGCCGTCTTCTCCTCCTCCTCCTCAAAATCTATTTAATTTGCGTTTTAAACAATCGCCTACGTGCCCACCGCCTCTTTGATGGAGTGCTTGTCTAAGTGGGGAAATGCTGGAGGATTCTAACAGCCTGGTCTGGAATGTCTGCTCTTGTTCAGGTATCTTCCAGGACATCCTCCTCCTCCTCCCTCCCTCCCTCCCTCCCCCCCTTCCTCCTCCTCCCCCTCCTCCCTCCCTCCCTTCCTCCTCCTCCTCCTCCCTTTGAAGCAGCTTTTGAACTTTCTGAAGAAAAGTTGAGGCGAGCAGGAAACTATACAGGGAACTTTTTATGTGTTTATGCGCTCTAGGCTATGGGTGGAAGAGGTTGGTGGAAGCCTGGCATTGGGCTGCTCATTTACTGGAGTGGGAGTTTGCAGCTCTGTGCGTGTTTGACGGAGCGGCAGCTTCCCCCCCTCTCCCTTGGATTGGATGGTGGTGGAGTTATGGTGAGCTGGTTAAGAACTTTGGATGCCCATTCTTTGCTCTGCACAGCCCTCTCGCCGTAGAGTTGAATTGTGTGTGGTGTTTTGTTTTTTTTTTAATGGTGCTTTGTCGCATGAAAGGGGACCAATGCATGATAAAGGTAGGGATAGCAGTTGGGGGGGGAATTACATGTCAACAGTATACTTGAACCGAGCATGGCTTTTTTCAAAGACAAGACGCAACTGGTAAGAAAGTCTTCATTTTCGACAGCGAGGCTGGTCAAATCTGTCTTTGCCTTTCCAGCTTCTTTTCAACCTTTTTCCCCCTCCTCTCTTCAGGGTACAGTTCAGAGGAGCATCCAGCATTGTGCTTTCTTAGGAGGGTTTCTGGTGATCCTAATCTAAACGTTTCAGGAGTTGAAAAGGTTTGGGAGGGAGGGGGAAGAGAGAGTGAAATGGAAACCAGATGCTGAGGAAAGCACGTTTTGTTCTTTTGCCCTGAGTTATCTAGCAAAGAGAGAGAAGGGAGGGAAGCAAAAAGCTAAAGGAATGTTTTGGTTTTTGTTTTTTGTTTTTTTGCTGCAAAATGGGTTGAACGGCATGGGGATCCAAGATTATTCCTGGGACTCCTCAGATGTTATCATAAGTAGGAGGGGGGAGGGAAACCCCTCCCGATGTTTTCCTTTGTGCATGTTGAGACTGTATTGGCAGTGCAATAAGTGTGTGTGTGTGTGTGTGGGTTTCTTTTCTTGTTTTTGTTCCCAACCTCTCACCCCACCCGGGCTCTCTGTATAGGAGAGTTAAAAGTGTGCCCAGAGTTCAGTCTTCCTCTTTGAAAAGAGTATTGGATACTTTTGATTAGTGCTGCAGATAGCTGCGGTTGCCTCTTTATTTTAATGTGAAGAGTTGAAAAGCCTGTTTATTTTTTGTCTTTGATGTTGCTTGGATCTGGTTTTGATTAGATCAATACTTCTCCCCCCCCCACCTCTTTTTTCCCCTTCTTTAAGAGAGAAGACTCTGAGGATCCCCTGCTGACTTGAGAAAAGAAAAGAGAGAGAGAGAGAGAGGCGCACATTGCTGAGGAACTTAAAAAGGGGAGAGAGAGAGAGAGAGAGAAAGCTCTACCCGAAGAAACTCCCGGAGAACCATGAGCAGCGCGGCATTGCTGACTCACCTCCCAGACCCCAGCAGCAGCTTCAGGGAAGATGCCCCACGCCCCCCTGTACCAGGGGAAGAAGGAGAGACACCATGCCATCTGGCTGCCAGTTTCTTTGCCCTGAAAAACCAAAGCTTCAAGGCCATGTCTGTTTCTTCCACACCCAGGAGGAATGAAGATGGTCTTGGGGAGCCAGAAGGGAGTGCATCTCCAGATTCTCCACTCGCCCGATGGACCAAATCCTTGCATTCTTTACTAGGGGATCAAGATGGTGCTTATCTGTTTCGGACCTTTCTGGAAAGGGAGAAATGTGTGGATACCTTAGACTTTTGGTTTGCCTGCAATGGCTTCAGGCAGATGGACCTTAAGGATGCCAAAACTTTAAGAGTCGCCAAAGCTATCTACAAGAGGTACATTGAGAATAATAGCATCGTCTCCAAGCAACTCAAGCCTGCCACAAAGACCTACATACGGGATACTATCAAGAAGCAGCAGATCGATTCTGTAATGTTTGATCAGGCACAGACTGAGATTCAGACTGTGATGGAAGAAAATGCTTACCAGATGTTTTTGACTTCTGATGTATACCTCGAATATGTTAGGAGTGGGGGAGAAAATCCTGCGTACATGAACAGCAATGGACTGGGCAGCTTGAAAGTGGATTGTGGCTACCTCCCTACCTTGAATGAAGAAGAGGAATGGAGCTGTGCTGACCTGAAACACAAACTTTTGCCCTCCATACTTGGACTGTCCAGTAAGACCTTGAGGGCTACGGCCAGCGTCCGAGCTACAGAAACGGTGGAAAATGGGTTCAGGTAAGAGCAATAGATCCCACTTATTATGGGAGGGTGTTAAGTGTCACAGTGTATTGCAAAACGAGTGTGTAGATGAATGTTGTGCTCCTGGTTTAAGTCAAATTTGGCAGAGAGACTGTCTTTTTTTTTTTTTTTTTGAAGCTTCCCAATTTTGGCATTTATTTCTTGCTGGAGGGGAGGGCTGCCTTTTCCCCTAATATGAAAAAAAGAGTACATTGTGGTTCTTAAGACCCACCAGTTCTAAACCTCTCTGAGACATCAAAAAGGAACTTCAAAGGACTCTTGTTCTTTGAGACATGCATTAATTGTTACCACTTTAAACCACATTAAGAGGAACTGGGAAGAGCACCATCTAGGCATGTGAATGAGTAATGAAATACTAGTTTGCCAACTTCATCCCTGGCTGGTGTTGAAATATGTGGATTACATGTAGAAAATGGAGAGCAATTATGTGATGATGGAACTAGAAAATCCATATTATTATTGAGATAACCTGTAAAACTGAACCAAGTTGACTTCATGAAGATGATGACTCCACACAGGTACTTCCATAGCTTGATAAATGAATATTAGCCGAAAAAATAGGATTTCTTAAGCCAAAGAAAACCAGCTTAGCTAAAGGGATGGCTTCAGGTACAGGATATTAGTAAGGGGCAAGAGTCAGAGATGAGCTCTGTGCTCCAGGTTCAAAGGAAGCTGCTTGATACCAACTTAAACAGTTGGTCCTTTGAGTTCACTTACTTGTCTGTTCCAACTAATAGCAGCTCTTCTTGCAGAATCCAGATACAGTTTTCTACTTGGAAAGGGAGAAGTCAGGATTCCAACCTAGGATTTATTTATTTTGTTCTGTGTGAAGGGTTGTGCTTGTATTGTGGAACTTTCCCCAGACGAATGGCATGTAGTCTTCATTTGAAGGTTGCTTCCCCCCTCCTTTCAAAATTGTCTTTGGTAAACCCCCAAGAGAATGATTTGTGTTTTCCTTTGGTTGCATTGGCTGTTGAAAGTGTGGCAAGAGTAGTTGTTCATCACCCCAAGTGGCAACATCGTATTTTCTTCTATGATATTATTCTCCTTATTCCCCCCCCCCCCTTTTGCCTTCATAAATCAGAATTGGTCGCATATGAAACGGTAGAGCAGAAGGACCTTGTCTCTCTCTCTCTCTCTCTCTCACACACACACATTCTCTCTCTCTCTCTGTATTCTGTCTTGCTTTGGGAGTTTCTAAATCTGGTAAGTATTTGACATCTGGTTTACAGGAATTTTGTGAGTGTTTCTGTGATTCATGGACATCAAAGAACTTCAGGCATCTCCTCTTTTTTCAGCTTGTATCGACCATGGCCTGCCTCTAAGAGGAGGGATCTTGAACTGCATCCGTTGTGTTTTTTTTTATTATTTTTGTTTGACTTTTAGCAAAGGGACTATGTGGTCTTTCCAAGGGATAGGACTGGCAAGGCAGCCGATTCCAATCCAGCTTTCCCGCACAGCAGTATAAATCTGGAGCAGCTCCAGATGTATAAGGAGCAGCTTACAGTTGTTGGCTGTGTACATGACATCCATGTAAGACATATTTGTTTCATCTGTTTGATGGGAATGTGCGCTCTATTCTTCTGTCTGAAGACTCAATACGTTTTTCTTATGGGGCCAGCTTTGCAGTAGCTCATATTTGCTGCGACAGTGAACTTGAACATGGAGATAATGATCACTTAGATATATTTATTTTTCTTAGCTTAAGATATAAAGACTATAAAGGGCATTTTCTGCCACTGGAACTTCAGAAATAATATATTTAATATGCGATTGCTTTAGTGATTCTAGAATAGGATTTTTTTCCTCCATGGTTGATCAAACTTTATTTGTGCAAGCAGCCTCACATTTTATCATGCATATGTTGATGGTATTTTATAGGGAACTTATTTACAGATTTTACATTAAGCAAATTGCTTGCAAATTGCTCCAAAGAGGCATGGAATAGGGTTTGGGGGGGGTCTGTCTTCACTGCATAACTAAGTAGAGAGTAGGATTTGAACTTGAGTCCTAGGATTGTCACTACCCCAGGCTTAGTGTGTTATCTTGGGCACACCAGCCCATCCATTCTCAGACTAAATTTTTCTGCTATGAAATTGAAATAGGACTTATGACTGTGTACCTATGCCTTGGTAAGAATTGCTGAGTACTTTGGTTGGAAGTGTCAGATCTGGTAGCAGTTTCTAGACTGGACTCTTATAGTTGCATATTGCCCTAGGATGCAAGCTCAAACTTCTTTCCGTCTAGAAGTCGTCAAATTCCATTGCTTTTCTGTTTTAACTAATGTTAAAAATCCTGGTTCACCTCCCCCTCCCCAACTTGGAGAAAGAACTGCTACTATACATATCTAATCTACCTTCTGCTAATGAATCGGTTTAACAGATAGTTATGGAGATTTGGTGTATACCCTAACTCTACCCCCCACCCCACTGCAACTAGCCTACAACTGTAATGCATAATCTCATCTGATTTGTGTGTTAAACATATCTATATATGCTTAATGGTTTTTGAGGAAAGAAAGCTATTTCAAGGTTGGTCCAAATGACTATTCACACTTGCAAGATGCTGGCATCTGGACAAGCGACAGTTACTTTGAGATTTGTTACTTTAAGCTCCATACAATGGAACTAAAAATAATTGTCTGCGTTGTACTCTAAATGTATGATGTGTCAGTTCATGAGCCCAGATCTGCCTTCCTACAGTATAGACAATAAGACACGTTCTGAGCGAAGCTAGCTTTACTGCTGAATAAGCTGGATCTGGCAGATAGGTCTTCACTGATCAAAAGACCTGCTGGTTGGCACTTATTGTATGAGAAATAACTATGAACTGAAGTTAACTTGGATCCACACCACAGCAAGGCCTTGCACGTGCAACCACACCTTCTTCTCATTGTTTTTTGGAGAAGAGGAGGGAAGTTATATACCAGTCTCCTATAAAGTTATAAATACTGCACTGCCAGCATTAAATAATCATACATGCTTCTACCTAGAAAGATACACCAATTTTCACAGCCTGATTTAGCAGTTTCTTGACAAAACATGTTTGGATTTTCAAGTTTATCACCTGAAAACCCGTGTGTCCTCAATGAGACACCGTTTTGCTTTCTCCATCCCCAATCTGTACATCGCTGTGAATTGAAAACTGGCTACAATTTCTCAGCACCCTCTTGCTTAGGCTGAACATGCAGCTCTGAAGCTTTGTATAAAGCAGGAAGGTAAAATTGAAAGTAAAAAAAAATGGAGGAGAAAAGGAGTTTTTATTAAGGGTCACCGTAAACACTGTGAAAGGATTCATCCAGAGGTGGGTATTCAGCAGGTTCTGATCAGTTCTGGAGAACCGGTAGTGGAAATTTTGAGTAGTTTGGAGAACCAGCAAATACCACCTCTGATTGCAGATTTTACAGTGTCCTTCCCCTGCCACATCCACCAAGCCATGTCCACAGAATTGGTAGTAAAAAAAAAATGCAGTTCACATCTGTTTGTAGCTTAGTACATGGAGGTCATCTTAAATAAAAGTCTATGTTCCATGTTGCCTGTTCTATCTCTTTTATGCACTCTATCTAAAAAGAGTGCATGAAAGAGTAACAAAGATGATTATAGGGGGGCTGGGGACTAAAACATATGAAGAATGGTTGAAGGAATTGGGTATGTCTAGTCTAGTGAAAAGAAGGACCAGAGGAGGAAACACAACAGCAGTGTTCCAATATTTGAGGGGCTGCCACAAAGAAGAGCGAGTCAACCTATTTTCCAAAGTGCCAGAAGGCAAGGACAAGGAACAATGGATGGGAACTGATCAAGGAGAGAAGCAACCTAGAACTAAGAAGAAATTTCCTAATAGCGAGAACAATTACCCAGTGGAACAGCTTGCCTTCAGAAGTTGTGGGTGTTCCATCACTGGAGGCTTTTAAGGAAAGACTGGACAACCACTTGTCTGGGATGGTAACAGAGTTTCCTGCTTGAACAGGAAGTTGGACTAGAAGACCTTCAAGGTCCCTTCCAATTTTTGTTATTCTGTTAATGTCCTCTTGGATGATGAAGAGAAGCTACTACTTCTTGTTCCTTTAAAGCAGGGGTCTCCAACAGCTGATTGGGGAATTCTGGGAGTTGAAGTCCTCCAGGCTTAACGTTACCAAGGTGGGAGACCCCTGCTTTAAAGTATTTCCCACCATTCAGTCTTAAAAAGGATGGAACTTTTGGTGGCCTTGAAGAAAGATAGGATGGAGATCCCTACACAGAGGAGTTACAAGATCGATTGATGAGATTTGGTTGCAGTTAAGGTGTCAGTGTGGTCAAAACCATTCCCCCCCCCCTATTTTTCAACGTAACCATGAAAACACTTTTAATTGGTTTACTCATTGTATGTTAGGTTTGTAAGGGCAAATCTTGGATTCCCCCCTCCCCCGTTTTAATTTTATAATTCTGTGTGAAGACTTCTCCATCCACTTCGTTGAAATGCTGAAAAAAAGGTTATAAGCTAAGTGTCCCAGGGATTTATATTTGATGATGGTGCTTACCATTCCTGTTGAACTTCAAAGCAATAGTTTTGAAGCTCTTTCTTGTCAAAAATGATGAACTCTCCAAAGTGACTGCTTACACTACTGAAGAGGCTCTTCTTAGCCCTCCCTTAGGGATGCATTGTAAACATAACTTCCAGTGGTTGCTGCGCTGGCATGTTTCAGATTGCATGTGCTTGAAAAGAAAAGGCCTATATAGGATCCCCTGAAAGAGCCGGGCTGGTTCTATACAGATGGTGAGCATCTTGAAACCAGATACTTTACAACAACAAGCTCTGATGGGCCTGGGTTGTGTTAAAACAAGACATGAAACAGTTCCAAGGAGAGCAATAAAAGGTAAAAAGGCTTCAATTGCCCCCTTTCCCTAAAAAATAAATAATAATTAAAAAAAAAAAAACACCATTAACGGTGTACTGAAAGTTGAAATTTCAGAAGCAGAGATGCCTTATCAGGAGAATTGGCTTTGTTTTTAGGGGTAGAATTGCCATTCCTTCCCATCTTCCCAGTTAAAAAAAAATGCTGTTAGAAAATAAAAATCAATCTTCTCCATTTTGTCATGCTTAGTATCTTTCTTCCTTCCCTCCCTCCCCGCTCCCTTCCTTCCTCCCTCCCTCCCCCCTTCCTTCCTCTCTCCCTCCCTCCTTTCCTTCCTTCCTTCCTTCCTGATATCTTGAGCTTCCCACCAGAAAAAATATTGGTGCATTTTGGGAATGAATGCAGTCCCATATGTGCAGAAATAGCTCCTTCTCTGGCAGTGCTGTGTCTCCTTGCAAAGGTCAGCTTGAGATAGAGAAAGTCCATCCCTACTCTTGGCCATGACTCCTTGAAGAGGGGCTGTCCCTCTGTCTATTTCTCCCTATCCACCCTTCTTTACAAAGGTTGGTGCCCCCCTGCCCCCCACTGAAATGGAGGAATGGAGCAGACAGGAGAGAGGAGACATGCAGCTTGTGACAAAAGTGAGCAAAGTCTACCTAAGAAGGGTGACCGTGGACAGTCAAGATGCATGGAAATACAGTAAAGGGACTAGAATATTAGAGGGTGAAAGGATGGCTTTCCACTGAAGATGCCAGGCTGTTTACTTAAATCAAGTTCTGCCACTCTCCGCAAGTGGCTTGAGGGGATGGTTTTTTTAAAAATAATAATAATAATTAAAAGGACCCGCTTCTTATGCCTTGGTCTTGCAGAAGTGAATTTCTTCTCCATCCTAACCCTGCCTTCTGAGCTCCTTATGGGCAACTCTTGATTAGACTAAGTGATTCTGAGCATGGAACAACAACGTGTGTTGCAACGAGCTCTCTCTCTCTCTCTCTCTCTATCTCTCTCCAGTGAAAAAGAGTTACCAAACTGAGTTTCTTCCGGATGAGGGATGTGGTTTGGCCCCTCTGAGAATCTGTGCTGTGGAATCTCCTGGAAGTGGTGTACATTTGACAGCTGGGGTGGGGTGTGTGTGGGGTGCCCTTTCATTCATTTTTCAGTATTTTATGGAACAGGCATCTGGAACAAGGGGTGACTGCTTCAAATAAGGAACATCTGGTAACCTTCAGCCTGGATTCCAGGCTTTTAAGAGCTGAAGAGTTAAAGGTGTTGCTGTCAACGAGGAAGATCTTCTGAGACCATCGTCTTTATGCGGTCCTCCTCCCAATCCTGCAAATTCTTGTACGCAGTGTTACCATATTTGCTCTCCGCTTTAAAGCCTTCTGCGTGAAGGGTGTTCATCCAATGCTGGTTACCCTGTGTGTAAACCTCTCCCCTCTTGTAGCCTTGTCTTATTCGGCATCTTCACCGTGTTAATGGCGGTTTTCATGATGTTTATCTACTTCTACGGTTTTACGGTATCTCAGCCAGAATCACTTTGGCTGAGATGGGTGATGATATGAATTTGACAAATAAATCACTCAAACAACGAGTGTGACAGTGAGGTAATTCTTGATTTACAGCCATTCGCTTAGTAGCTGTTCAAAGTTACAATGACACTGAAAAACCTGTGACCATTTTTCACACTTACGACCATCGCATTCCCCCAGGGTCACGTGATGCTTACCACAAATAAAAAAGAAAGTTTTGCGCATTTCTCCTTAAGGTTGTAGATCAGCGAGGAAAGATTGTTTTGCTCTTCAGATCAGACTTAGATCTTTAGACCTCCCTGTCTTTAGAGGCCCTCTGCTTTCTCCTCTGAAATCAGATGCTTATTGGCTGATTTTGAAATCGTAGCCTTTCTGTCAAAGTGACAGGGCAGACAAGCACCCTAAAATATTATGGGTGCTTACCAGTAATTCCCAGTATTCATCAGATTTCCCAAGCACATTGCATCTAGAGTTCCTCTAATGTAGGTTTACAATGAATCCTATTATCAATTGGAGGCAGAAGGGAGTCCTGTGTCTTTAAGGCAAGGGCCTTCAAACTTGGCAAGTTTAAGGCTTGTGGACTTCAACTCCCAGAATTCCTGAGATAACATGACTGGAGGAGGAATTCTGGGAGTTGAAGTCCACAAGCCTTCCAGCTGTCAAGTTTGAAGGCCCCTGCTTTAAGGTCACGCTATGAGCTTGTGGCCCTGATAAAATTTCAAGGAAGTCAAGGCATCTCTTCAATGGTGATGCTCATTTGCCCCATGTCAACCCTTTCTGCTCTCTTTCTGATGAAGAATATGAACATTTAATGTTTTAGTGGGAAAGTAGTTGAGCACGTAGTGGGGAGCGGCTGAGCACCCTGTCCAAAATGGAAACGTTATATACAGGCAGTCCTTGAACTTACAAACATTCATTTAGTGACTGTTCAAAGTTACAACGGCACTGAAAAAAAAATGACTTGTGACCAGTTTTCACTCTTACCTTGCAGTATCCCTGCCCATGGTCACAGTGATCCGAATCTGGACTCTTGGCAGCTGCTTCCTATTTATGACGGTTGCAGTGTCTTGGGGTCCTGAGATCACGTTTTTCGACCTTCTGACAAGCAGAGTCAATGGGGGAAGCTAGATTACTTAACACAACTGGGTTATTAACAACTGCAGTGATTCACTTAACTACGGTAACAGAAAGTTGTAAAATGGGCCAAAACTCACTGAGCAACTGTCTTGCTTACCAATGGAAATTTTGTTTGCTCAATTACAATTGGTCCTCAAGGACCACCTATAGTGAAGGGGGATTATTAAGGGATAGGCTGAGGGTAGATGGTTGGATAACTTTCTGGACAATTTCAAACACTGGCTGCTCAGAGAATCAGTGCCATAGATAGGGAGAGGTTTGTAAGTATATTGCATTTGGCAAAGTGCAGTAGAGTTATATAGCATTTTTACTTCTAAAACAAAATGGCAGAGCAGGTTATCATGTGGTATGTCAACTGTGAGAAATAAACAGATCTTGTGTGCAGTTGGGCTTTGTGCTAGTTAAGCAGGCTTAGCGTTCATGAATGCAGCCTCTGCCTACTTAAATAGGACAAAGTCCAACTGTTCACAAGAAGATCTTATTTCAGGGTAGATAGTGATAGGGTTATGCTTTTTTTAAAAAAGTGTTGACTGCTAGAGTGGCTTTGATTGATGCCCCCCTTTCTCACTCTATGTAGACCTGGGGTGTCCAACCTTGGTACCTTTAAGACTTGTGGACTTCAACTCCCACAATTCTTCAGCCAGCATGGCTGGTTGAGGAATTCCAGGAGTTGAAGTCTACAGGTCTTAAAAGTTGCCAAGGTTGGACACCCGAGGTCCAGATCTCTTTCATCTTTGAAATAGCAAGTCCTAGAAGGGAGGGCAAGTGTGTAAATTGGTAAAACGGTAGTATCTAAGACCAGGAAGACAAAGGGTTAACTAAGCTCAGTAATATGACTAACCTACCTCAAAGGTTTTATTGTGAGGATAAGTTAAGAGTAGAGATGCTTCAAGATAGCTCTTTGGAAGAAAGGAGAAAGGAATGCAAGCTTGATGACTCTTTTTCAAGCAGTTCAATAGTTGGGGCCTTGAAGTCATGGATAAGCAACCTGGTGCCCTTTGGAGGTCTGGGACTGAAGCTCCCACAATCCCATAATTAGTGGCTGGAGTTAAGGAGAGATGAAGTCCAAAAACATTGTGAGAGCTCCAGATTCTCTATCCCTAATTTAAAATATCCTGTGAAGTCATTGAGACAAGCGACCTATGAAATTATGTGGGAAAGCTTAAAGCAGTAGGAAGAAAGCTTAAACTGTGGTCCATCTTAAACACTTCTCATTTTCAAGAATTCTACGGAATCTGTGGTGTTTTTTTCTCTCTCTCCAAGTGTTGGGAATGTTAGGTCTGTAGTTTGCCTTGAATAACTGCTACCTTGCTCTTTGGTCTCCTAAAGTTTGCATTTCCTGAGTTCAGAGACTAGCAGGGCTCTCTGTTTTTGCTCATTTTCTAGGTCCTTCAAGAGGAATGACCCAGTTAACCCTTATCATGTGAATTCTGGCTATGTCTTTGCTCCTGCTACTAGTGCAAACGACAGCGAAATTTCGAGTGATGCTCTGACCGACGATTCTATGTCAATGACCGACAGCAGTGTGTAAGTATTTCCATCATTGGAATTGGAAAGAAGTTTGTAAATAGTTAAATTTTTCTGGGCTGTCCTTCCTACTAAATGGAACACATGATTGGAATAGAACAGTATATGCTGCAAATGTAAGATTTGGTTCCACCATTTTCATTGCTTGATAGGGACGATTCTTCCAAAGTCTCAGACAAATGACCTTGTTCTCCTGGAATACCTACAGAGTTTGTTTCTGGCCCATGGAGCCTGTCTGTGAGTTATCCCTTTATTTGCTGTCTTGTTTCAGGTGTTTTTAGGGCTGTGTGTGCTGTCATAAAATAATGACGGTGTTAAAAAAAAAAATCGTTTCCTTTAGGAAGTGCTCTGAGGCTACTGCTGCACTTCCAAGTACAATTGATCTAAAAGGCAAGTGACCTGTTGTGCCAATATTAGAACTAGAATTAGAGGAAGTTTGGCCTGTTTTCTTTTAGTTTCTCTCTAGAAGGGCAATGGTGTCCTCTGTAACAATCTTAACTGTTGGAGAGAGAGGAGGGGGGGAGGGGAAGGAAAGAAGGAAAGGAAAGGAAGAGAAAAAGAAAGAAAAAGAAAGAAGGGAGAAAGAGAAGAAAAGAAATGAAGAGAGAAAGGAAAGGAGGAAGAGAGAGAAAGAAAAAGAAAGAAAGAAAGAAAGAAAGAAAGAAAGAAAGAAAGAAAGAAAGAAAGAAAGAAAGAAAGAAAGAAAGAAAGACTCTCTTGATCAGCCTTTATATAGTGTCTGGTGGTTAAATTGCACTACTAGCTCTTTTCTCTCTGCCCTTTTCTCTCAAGTTGTATTTTCTGTCCTGTTTCTGAATGAAGGCAGTGCTTTATTATTGAAATATTCCAGGATATTCGAAGGACATGGTACATTTTGCTGTTGAAAGCAGAAAGAAGTTTTTAAAATGTTGATTGGTTTTGCTGTAATTAAGAGTTTCTCTACTTTCTTTCGTGACTCAGCTGATGCCCCGGGACTAAATCTAGAACCCTCTCCCCCCCCCCCCCACCGAGATGGACTGCAAAGTAACCATCCCTTGGGTGGCCCTTGTAGGTACTCAGACAGTTTTGATGTTGTTTGTGCTGCTTCATGAAAGCCAACCATTTAAAGGCAGTCCTCAATTTACGACCCCAATTGAGGCCAACATTTCTGTTGCCATGTGAAACATTTGTTAAGTGAGTTTTGCCCCATTTTACCACCTTTCTTGCCCCAGTTGTTAGGCGAATCACTGCCGTTGCTAAGCTAGTAACACAGCTATCAAGTGCAACTGGCTTCCCTCATTGACTTTGCTTGGCAGAAGTTCGCAAAAGATAATCACATGATCCCGGGATACTGCAGCCGTCATAAACAGGAGTCAGTTGCCAAGCAACAGTTGTAAGTGTGAGAAATGGCCAGGCATCCCTTTTTTCCAGTGCCATTGGAACTTCGAATGGGATCACTAAATGAACTGTTATAAGTCGAGGCCTACCTGTCTATGGGGACTTTCTCCGGGCTTACAGATTGGCTCCATTTTCGTTGTTGTCGAATCTCCCTGAAACAATCATGAAAACCGCCTCTCCCATCACTTACGGGGCCCCAGTGTGGCCTTGCCTTAACCCTAAAGAGGAGCTGCCATCCTTGGGCCTCCATAGAGTTAGTCATTTCTGAGCTAGCAATGGCCCCCTTACGGCTGGGATCCTTATGCCCTCTCTTCAGAGTCAGGCCTTCTGCAGATGAGAGGCCTGAGTGAGAAATAAAGTGCAAAGGAGGGTGAGGGTGGGAGGTGAGGGGGGTTAGGTGGGGTGTGGGGATGAAAGGCTTAACTGAATCCCTTTCAGCCCATTGTTCATCTAGGGGAGCTTAGGAGAGGATAAGAGGTTAGCAGGCAGCTTTGAAATTGACTTGAACAAGTGAATAGGAGCTACCCCTTTTAAAGCAGGGCATAAAAGAAGCCGGCCTGTTTGCTCCTGCCATAACAAGAGCTCCTGCCATAACAAGAGCTCCCAGGTCACGAGGAGCCAGGGAAGCTCGCTTGATTTATACCACTGGGAAGGCATTGAACCGACAAAAACGTGGGTTCAGTAGGATCCGGGATAGTTACCTAGCACGAGGGAGCAACTTTTCTTCACCTGCTCCTGCTGCCAACTCCAGCCCTGGTTTTCTGCCTTTGACTTGTTTTCCTTGCCCCTGGGTGTACAAAAGAGAAACTTGAGCAAAAACTTGAAGGGGAAAGGTGTTTTCCGTCCGGGCTGAGGGAATGGATTGGAAAAAGGGGGGAGGGGGGGAAATAATCCGTTGCTTCTGTGGTAAGTTGACTTCCTTTGATGCTGCGGCAAACTGACATCAGTGCTTTTTCCTATAGGTTTTGTTGACTTCCCAATTGTGCATTTAGGTTGCCTCTTGGGTGGCAGTCAAATGGAGGGAGAGAATGTCGAGATAGAGGAAGCCAGGGTGAGTTGGGCTGGAAGGTTTGGTGGCCTTCCTAGAAGGGGAGACAAATGCACCTCGTGCCTGAGTTTGCAGTTAATCTCAAAAGTATCCTGGTGACATTTTTGGTTGCTCATGTGCTCTTTTAGTGCCGACCATAAAGCACCTCCAATTTCCATGTCTTGGTTGGAGGGAAGGAAATAGAGAGAAGAAAAAGAGCTGAAAGGGAGCGCCTTATTGGTTATATCTTATTTATGGATTTACTTTGGACCCATGGGAACACTGCTGAGTGAACTTCAAATATTACCTTATCTTACAAACCAGGCTTTTGATGTTGGCAAGATCAGAGGCTGTGCTCCACAGCCATTGCCAAATGAAGATGGGAGTGAATGCATATGCGCCAAAGCCTGAGATTTCAAAAGAAGCAGTAAAACTACATTCAAGTTAGGTCAGGCACATCTAAGTCAAAAGGCTAAGATAATTGGCTCAGCTTAAATGGCAGCTGACTGGAAAGGAGACTTCAAAATTAGTGTTTCCCCAGAAACAGATTGGCTTAGTCCCAGAGTGGTTAGCTAAAATGTTTATAATTAAACTGTGCTACTCACTGGCTAAAATTGTGCAGTTCTTTATTCTAGACTCGGATTTAAACACATACACACACACACACACACCGAGGCAGGCAGGCAGGGGCAAGGAGGAGAAAGCTAGTTGGACTGACAGGGTTGTCATCTTCCCAAAAACACTGTCCCACTTTTGAGGCCATTGAGCTCTTGCATTTAAAAAGCTTTCATATATTCCAGCATTGGGCAGAAATATTTGGTGTTCCCTTCCTCTCAGATCTCACCTTATTATCAAATGGCCAAGCGTGGCATCTATAGGATTCTTCTAGTTGAGGATTATAACAGCCTTACAATAGATTTTAAGACGGATTTGAAATCAACCCCAATGTATTTACCAAACAGGCTTCTTATCTAAAGCTTTGCCTTTTCTGTTTTCCTTGCCTTCGTGGCTACCTTATAGAGTCTTCCTTGCTCCTATTTTTCAGATGAGAAGCTTGCGGGGCTGGTAGAAGTCCACCACCAACACTGCTTGGTGCATGTGTGGCTGAAAGAAAGCTTGAAACCAAAATAAATATCCCCGGGGCAAAATGAGTCCTCTCCTCTGTGCCTTAATTGGCTTCTTTGGCTACCCTAATTTTAAATTTGAGAAGCAGCTGTCTGTCTCGTTCACACGAAAGCATTATCAATTCTTGCCTTGTTCCAGTGCTCTTTTATTTTAAATATTCAAGAACCAAAAATGCTCAAATCCTCATTAGGATGCCCAGTTCTGTTTCTCAGGCTATTGAGGAATGCCCCCTCCTAACATGACACTTACTTTTCCCCCCAAATTTTATTGGTTTTAAAAACAAACATAAACAAAACATAAAAACATCAAGCTATCTTCCATAGATGTGCCGGTTGATTTACAAATTGTTTTGTGCTTCCATTTCGTAGTCTTCAATTACAATTACATTACATATACTCTCATATTGTCAATCAAAAATTAAATACCTTAGCATCATTATTAATCAATCATTTGACTATACTTTTATTCATTCATGTTTTACAAGATAACCATAATTTACTTAGATCTTATAACAGTTCATATTACCATCCCAAATCTATCCTAAAATCATTTTTAGATATAATAAGAAAGAAGTACATCTTTGTATATTTATTATTTTCTAAAAGTCTACATAATTCATTACTGTACTTTATTGTCTAACCATTGATAGAAAAGATCCCAAATTTTATAAACTTGTTTATCCTCTTGTTCTCTAATTTCAAATGTCAATCTACTCATTTCAGCACATTCCAATATTTTCTTAATGATTTCCTCCTGTGATGGTATTTTCTCATTTTTCCAGTTTTTAGCAAATACAATCCTAGCCGCTGTTAATACATTTACAATCAGGTATTTCAAGTCTTTACTATATATTTCAGGTAAAATTCCCAATAAAAATATCTCTGGTTTCAAGTCTATATGTTTTTTTGTCATTTTTTCCAACCACATGTGGATTTTAGTCCAGTATTTTTTTGCATCCGCACAAGTCCCCCACATATGGTAATATGAGCCAGGTGTCTGATGACATTTCCAACATTTTTCGGATTTATTCTTGAACATTCTTGCTATTCTTGTCGGGAGAAAATGCCACCTGTAAAACATCTTATACAAATTTTCTTTATATGCTGTTGACATTGTCATTTTATAATTTTGAGACCACAATTTTTGCCGTTTCTCTAAATCAATCCCATATCCAAAATTCTTCCCCCAAGCAATCATAGTTTCTTTAACGTGTTCTTCTAATTTAGTTTCTAATAAATATCCATACAATTTTTTAATCACTTTTTCATCAGTACCTGTCAAAATCTTATCTAAGTCAGTTTATCATAGAAACCTTCTGTTTTAGAATCTTTATCATACCTTGAATGTATTTGCGCATATGAAAACCAATTCATCTTTATACCTTGTTCCTCTAGTTTTTGCATAGATTTAAGTTGACCCTTTTCATTCAATATTTCACCATATCTAACTGTTTGTTCCTTTATATATGTTA